TGGAATGCGTTGACTCAAAGATTTTCAGTGATCAACATCAGGGGGAGTAGCTGTACTCTTTTTCCTTCGCTTAGGTTTTGTCCCATTGGATTTTCCTAACAAGGTTTTAATGAGACATCATTTAATTTTAATACTCCAAAATAACTGTACTCTTTTTTCCTTCGTTTGATTTTTTTTCCCATTGAATTTTTATCAAACAAGGTTTTAACGAGGCATATATTTTATAATATGTCATTCAAGGAGGAGTGTTGCAAATAGAAAGTCCATTAAAGTTTATTGGTGAATGAAATTTATACCCCTGTAGCCCTATAAATTATTACCATTGTATCCCTGATTCTTACCTATAAATATAGGGCTTTGATTTTCAATAATAAACATAAAAGGTTTATTAAGTTTTCTCTATTCTCTTTGAGTTTTCTCTACTCTCTTTTCCTCTCATTTTATAATAAATAGGATTTTATTATTAGACAAAATTAAGTTTCAGTAATATATAAGGACTAGTTGAAGTAGTATAATGACGCTAGACCCAGCATTGTTTGGCATTCAATTAGAAGAAGAGTTGGACAGACGGAAAGAAGTCACTTTGAAGCACTAATTTTATTTTTTGATAGGAGATTTCATATAGTTTCTTCAATACGTTCTTACTTAATTTTAATCGAGAAATAGCTCTCGGTTTTGCTTGGGTTAGCCAAGAAAGCCTTAGCATGCAAAGACATAGAGCTCAATACATACTTAGTAAGAGATTCAAAGAGTGTAATTAACTGACTGATACCCCCATTTGGGCCATGGTTATTATAACCATGATTATCATCTCGATGAAAGAAGAGTAGTATTGGAACAATCTTGAGAAGGTACTATGATTCTTAAATCTTATTGAATTCGATGTGATCATGCATACTAAATATGACGATAGCCACTATTATGATGAATATGAAGTTCCTCAAAGGAACTTTCTTCTGCAAAACACAAACCCAAACCTAATTTTTTGTAAGAAAGAAAAAGCAACCAAAAAACAATTTCACTATGTTAGGCTTCTTAATAAATTTGTCTTAAAATATGAGAGAATTATTGCAATCGGATTTTCAGTGTAGTTGTTTCTATGTTGAAAGCTAGGAAAATTCAATAACTTTGATGTAATGTTTACGTCAAACCAAATCAACAAATATTTGTGAAACTTATTATTTAGTTTAAATAACTTTATTTGAAGACCCTTATTATTTAGTTTAAATAACTTTATTTGAAGACCCCGTAAATGCAAAAGTTCAAGTACTAATTATACCGACTAAAATGTTATTTTATTTTAATAATAACGACACCATGTCATTACGACAAGCCATGACAAACAATCCAATGAATTTTCTGTTGGATGGTATTGGTCTTTCTTAACCCAAAAATTAGATCAAGAGGCGAGGCTTTCCTTCACATTTATAAATTGATTACCAACCCCTTTCACAATCAATGTAGGACAACCTCAACAATCTCCCCCTCACGTATCAAGTCCTGTGGGAAACTAAACCCGTCTCCCCCTCACACAAACTAGCATTTTCCATGGCTATTGGCCTAAGACTAGTTGATAACTTGGGCTCTACCAACAATGTTGGATGGTATTGGATATTCTCAATCCCAAAAACTAACTCAAGAGGTTAGGCTTACCCTCATACTTATAAATTGACCACCAACCTCTTCTACAATCAATGTGGGACAACTTCAACATTTTCTATAACACACTTGTAGGCCGCGAGTGTGTCGGGTCATCACTGTCACCAGCCACAATCCAACGAAATAAGTTTGTGTATAAATAAGTTACTTTTTAAATTTTTTTAGCTCTGCCACTGTTCATACCTGGTCCATTTTTTGTGTATAAGTAAGATATATTTATTCTTTATATTGAAATTGTGACTGTCAGTAGAGTTCACAAAGCGTAGTGTTGAGTCATTTTAGAACTTTGGCTCAAGTTGACTTGCCTTGCTTATCTATTGACTTGTGCAAAGATTGAGGCCTTGTCGGCTCATATTGCCCTGTAATATAAGAACTCGTAAGGAATGCTTGTAATAAGGTATCATAAAAAAATCATCATGGTTTTGTTGCTTCAAAGTATTTATTGCATGTTAATTTGGGCACTCAAGTCAAAATGTCTGGCTCCGCTATTGGCGAGGGGCATATGAGAGCTCACGCTTTTGCTTCTTATTTCTAGCCTAGTTGTGATGTATTTATTTGGACATTGTATTCTGTACTATATATGTCTCGTCTATGATCACCACGAACTCTTTTGATGAAATGCGTTTGACTTCAAAACAAGAAAAGCATAGCCAAGCATGATGAAGTATATTTAGTCCTTGTTTGAGTCCCATTCTTGTCAAAAAAATATATTTTTGAATAGTGCATTGATGAGAAATGTGTGGTTAAAAATTAAAGAAAAGTTTTGGATTTATGTATTAAATTTTTTTAATGAAGAATTGTGGTTGAAATGAGATCAAATCACTGTTGAAAAATGTATTTTGATTAAAAAAATGAGAGTCAAACAAGGACTTAGTGTGGATTTGCATACCATAGAACAACTTGTCCAATGTGCATCAGAGAATTGTGATGAACCAAGAGAACCATAGCCAAGTGTTTGATGTAAAACTCGGTTATACGGAGGAAGCCATTGCTTGTAATAATGATATCATAAAATTAACTTCAGCTATTTGGTTATTTTACCAGTGATCAGCAAAATTTGTTGAAAGTGTCGAAATGGTTATCGAAGTATTTATGGTAGTAATCATTCAATCAAGTTTCTAAATATTACACTAACAATTAATCTACTTGTACAAAGTAGGTTAACAAAGTTTGTTAACAAAATCAATGTTGGCAAGATCTAGGCCGTTAATCTGTTTTAAATTCAAAAACTGTTTTTGAAATGGGTGATAAAGATATTGCCAACTTATACTTTGTCAACCAACTTTGTCATCCTCCTTTGTTGGTGTAGCATTACTCGATAAATGCGGCTATAAATTTAAATATATTTTCAACTAAATTTTATAAAATTAGTGTTCATATATGAAAGGTGTACTAGTTGTCGTTTGTGCCCCAATTGGCATTTAATATCGTCATTTATGATTTTCGGTTATGTTTCAACCCGAGTCACCATTAGTGTAACTATTAGAAACTNCCCCAATTGGCATTTAATATCGTCATTTATGATTTTCGGTTATGTTTCAACCCGAGTCACCATTAGTGTAACTATTAGAAACTCGAATAACCACTATTGTAAGAAAAATACTTAATGATCATTTTGAAAATTTCAACAAACTTTAGTGACCATGCCTAAAATTAACCCTTTTTATCAATATAATGTTTCAATGTTCTCAAACGTTACGTTTTTATCTTAATCGTAAGTTTCTTTTATATTATTATTGTTATTTAAAAATTTCAACAAAAAAAATAATATTCACAGCGTTATTACAAAATTACGTGGCCTTACTAGTATTAATAAACACTCCTAAGTGTAAAAAAAAATTGGCGCCGTTGGTAGGAAACTTGAACAAAGAAAATCGCGAATTTGCATTCTAGCCAAATTCTCCTTTGGGCAAAAAGATATAATATAAAGACTAAATAAATACATGCGCCTACCAAAATCTATTCTTTCATTGCACTCGAGTAGGATTATATGTGATGAAAATGGAGCATTTTACATGAATATATATTGCATGAAACATAATCACAATTTTTATTGCATCTTGCATGCTGCACTGAATAACAGCCTTTGCGCAGATTCCTTACTTTGGGCGACATGCCTTCTCAACAGGCCCGACTTGTCTTGCAAACTGAAAAAACAGAAGGAAAAATCACTATATTAATATGCATATGATTTTCTTCAGATTAAACAATTCTTTTTCGAGCTCTTGTGTAACCTTTGTTACATGCAAAGTCTGCAAGTGTTTGTGCCTGTGTTTATATGTGTTGCACAAAAGAATTTGGAATAGGGAAAAGTAAGGACCTGAAAATAATGTTCTAATTTCTTTTTAAGAGCAGCATATTCTTTCTTCACTTGTTGGAAAGTTCTCTTGCATCTGCAAAAACATCAAGAGGCAGTAAATATCATCATAAAGTCTAAATTAATGACCAAATTCCCCTGGATTATCAACTGGAGTATATGGCTTATATCGAGTGAAAGACATGTATCCTGGAAAAGCAGGTTGATGTCTGTACAATCCATTAATATTTCCGTACGATGACACATCTACAAAAGCTAAACACAAACAAGTTCAAACACCTATATTTTCCCTACATTAACTCCTGGCACAAATGAGGGGGATCAGATTTAGACAACTAGACAGTGAATAAAATTTTTAGCACCGTCTAAAATATAAATTGTATGTGACTAAAAGTAGAAAACAAATTACCCTTCTCCATTTCCTGTTTCGCAGTACTCTTTGAATTGTGTGCACTCATTTTTCAACTTTTTGGCTCCGATGCTGCATATATAGATGACACAGTAGGGTTAATTTTGAAGATGAACAAATACCTGCAAGACCACTCTTGATTATGAAATCATTGTTTTTTAATTTTATTATTATTATTTTATTAACTACCTGCAACTACTCCCCTTGAACTGGTGCATATAGTTGTCCAGCTTAGCAAAATCAAGAGGGTTCTTCTCCCTGACAGAAAAAGGAAATACAAATTCATAATCAAGAATAGCTTTTGATGGAAATTTTAGTCAACTGTTGAACTTTATTAGCACTGAATTGCATCTCCAATAGGGACAGAGAAATCCCCAGAATCAATTCAGTGCTCATAAGACTATCTTGCAGTTGTTGAAAACTGATACCAGAAAAACAAAGATTTTACTCACAAAGCATGGTCTATGTTTTGGATTAATCGAGCCGAATCCCTGTAGTACATTGTGACAACTTCTTCAACGAAATTTGGATTTGCCGCATCCTGTAGCTCTTCCAACTGAATGAATTGTTCATCTAGATATCCCTGCACGTTGTCCCTTATTATTTTGATTCTCAACAACATAACACAATGAAAATATATTGGGAATGGTCTTTCAACATTGCGCATCATTCCAGGCAAGCTCTTCCTCCACACACAATAACACTCATGTGTATATGCACCTTACACTGTCTGTGTGTATGAGTGAGAGAGAGGGAGGGGTAAAGAGATGAATGCAATACAGAGAAACATTAATTACACATAGAACATTCCCACACGCGCATAAACAAACTTGCATCGTGCAAAAACAAATGTGATTTGCATGCACAAGTCATATAATATGGGAGAATTAGAAAATTTTCACCTAGAACAAAGGAATAATCTTTTGTTGGTTAGCGGAGAAAAAAAATTCACGCGGACTATCCTATATACACACGTGGTAAAACTATCCATTTAAATTACGACACCTCGAACGTCGAGTCATTCAAAGTATGACATATTGATGTCCGACATTGTAAGAGAGAAACAAAGAGTGTATGTGATGCCTAGACGTCATATTTTGAATGGTTTGAGATTCTGCATCTCGTGATTTGAATGGATGGGTTTATCAAGTATGCATATATGACCATCCTACAAAAACTTCTCCCACGCTAGCGAGCCACTTAATTAATACTAAGAAAGCAGCAATTAAGAATACCTGATCAAAAAGGGACTTCTTCATGTTAGCAAGTTGTCTATGCAAATTCCTTTCCATTAAAGGAATGTGTGATCTACAAAGTTGGGGAAGAGTGAGAAATCTAGAGAGACGGGTTCAATAGAAATATGTGATAGTTAAATGAAAATACAATATAGTTTTGCATGAAGCTAGAGGGTTTATATAGGACAAGAGATGTTCCTCTCTTTGTGTTAAATATGCTACTTTGAAGCTAATCAATATTTAACTCAAATCTCTGTCACTGAACATTCATTTTGATTCCAGCTCCAATCAAGAGTTAAGCGGGTATTAATTAACCTATGTAATCTTGTGATATATATTCCCTAATATTTTATTAAAGCATTGCGTGATTTAGACATTGATGCAACACTTGTATATATATATATACATATATGTATTTACGATATTACACTTGGTTTTCATCGAATATATTAATCATAAATGTTCCTATTCCATATCCAGCTAATTGATTAACAATCTATGCGTTATAATTTATCCATCAAGCTTCATTATTTGTCGAGAAAATAATTATAATATAAACAGAAAAACGAAGTAGAATGAACGATGCAAGATGGACAGGGACACGTCTGCCTTGTCTGTCTAGAATAATTCAAGTGGAATATGCTAATTGATATTTGGGCCAGAAGTTATTTCTAACCCCCCACCCCCCTTTCCCCCCCCCCACC